AAGGTCGTGTCTTTTCCATTTATCGTCCATTATTGGGATTGTCGTGCATATTTGATTGATGTTACAATAAAATCATTTCATTTATTCACTTTTTCGGCATGCGTTCGCCTACTTTAAAGTTACATTGGATATTAAAATAACACAAGTAGCTGCAAAGACAAGGATTTATATCCACCGTGCTTACATCTTAAGTAGTAATCTACGTTCATGCCGACAAAAAGTCTCAAAAGTTAATATTAATATTGATGATAAATGGAACAAAATGAAGGGATCGATAGTTCCTTCTTATTTATAAAAAATGTGTAAAAAAATCTCTTCCGGCTTTGGATAAGTTACACATAGCACAGCGAGATTATGGTGAGGCTTACAATGTACAATATATATAAAAAAAAGGTTGAAAGAAGAAAAGTGACAAGCAGCATCAATTAAATTTAGATAGAAGAGGAAGAAACAAAAAATATGTACGCACAAAATAAAATAAATTGAGACTCATCAAATCTAAATGCGGTGTAATTTCTCTTTTTTCTCAATACTTAAGCCGTTACATTAGATTGATGAATTTTTTATGAAAATTTTATGAGAAAGGCAAAAGAACTTTCTCATCATTTAAGAAGCCTTATAGGAAACCCCCTGTAGATATTTAAAAAAGTATAAGTAATTAATATATATTTGTGGCATGGACATTCATAGATTTATGCTTTAAAATGAAATGAGGTTCTCACTTTTTACACCTTCAAAAAAGCCACACGAAATGTAAAATGCACTGTTGCCAAACTACATCTCATCGCAATTCATTGTGAAGGTGAAGTCGTCCATGAAATTATTGTAATTTCATCCATGGCTTGGAGGTGAGTGCGAATGAATGAATGGGAAAAAGAAAGAGAAATAGAGATGGAAAGAAGTTGTAAGAAGAAATTGAAATTGCATTTTTATATGCAATTGCGATAATTTATTTGACGTGCTTGCTGAATGTTTTTCTTTTACGTAATAAATTTTACTTTTTCTCATTCAGTAAAAGTGAATTAAATGAGCAGCAATGAATGAATTTGGAATTTTCAGGAAGGTAGTGGAGAAAATAACACTCCTGAATAAACAATGAAACAGGTACAATCTATCATCTAGGAATGTGCCATTCATGGTTCTCCAACATTCACTAAATCATGCTGTTCTTTTAAATGATCTTAAAATTTAGGACAACTTTTTCTCTTTCTACTTTTTGGTTCAAAATCAACCACTAAAAACTTGTTTTATTTTCAATCTTCTTTAATTTTATTTACTTTTTTATCTTTATTGTATTCTCCTTCTTTTTTCGACATTTTATATTCACATTCTCTTTTGCTCTTTGCTGCCTCTATTGAACGATTTATTTTTTGGTATTGCATTTCATTCACTGGCATAATAAAATGGCAATACGATATCAGATAACTCCTTTTTTGTTTGCTGTAAATATTTTTCCTTTCTTTTGTTTTCTATTCTTTTATGCTTGCAGAACACAAAAATAATGTCAAAGAAAACTAAAAACAGACAATTCAGAGTTGGGTCCTGATCCTTAATACAAAAAGTAAGACTATTGCAACAAATTGACTATTACTATGCCACACGAAAAAGTCAATTGCAGCCAAGTGACTCTGCATCTTCATGCTTGAAGATACCTACAATGTACCTCTGCATCATACAGTAATAACGAGTTGATTGAAAAATAAGAGATAAGGCATGTAACGTTCGTAATCACTTTGTTCTACTATTAAAATTCAATTGTATACAAAAAAGAGCTCTAATTGCATTACAATGGCGATGCCACTTAGTTATTGCATTTGTGATATCAAATGCCATTTTTAACACATAAAAACTAATTTTATGTCATTCGAGTATGCAAATTATAAAATTTCAGCTTGACAGTCGAGCAAAATAAAATTAATAATTTTATTTTCAATGAAAATCAGGTTTTATTTCTGATATTTGCTTCATTGTGGTTTTACAATCGAAAAAATTTATTCGATTAAAATTCGCGGTTAACATTCCGATACCTGTGCGACTAATGCTTAATTTTACTTGACATTTTCAAGTGTTATGCTTTTTGAGTTTTCGTTATCGCAAATATGTGTGCTAAGTAAATATGCTTGAAGCTATCAATTTAACGTGAAGAAAATTTACTTATAAGCGACTTATCAGCACAACGATTGGAAACACCTCTTGTTGTTGCTGCATAAACTCATTCGCGAAACGATAAAATTAAATTAAAAATTGGTGTCATTCTTTAATGCCTTTGTATGTTGATGAACGTAGAAAGCAAAAGAGCGCAATGTCATCGCTCTTCAAATTAGGTCATTTGTAAAATTAAGGCAATAATGCCTTATGGTTGAAGAATGGAAGTAAAGAAATATGTACTATACATACGGTTTATGTTGATTTTGGGAATTTTTCTTTTCTTCTCCCTTCTTTAATCTACTGTCTGCTTTTTTCTCTTTCCTTCCTTTCTGTTTTCTTTACGTATAGACTCAATGATTGAGGCTGTAGTACACGAACAATATATTGTGTGAGTTTAACAATTGTCCTTGATAATTTCGTTAGTAGAAATAAATATTTTTTCTTTTTGCAGCCCGCAGAAAATGTCTCTTTAAAGATTTATAATCGTCACTTTTATTTTCAAACACTTCTCAATTTCTACTTCTTCTTCCTTCTTATTCTTATTCTTTTATTCTTATCCTCCCCTCAAGTTTTTAACTCATAAATCTTTTACTGCTTCTTACTGCATTAAATTTGTTTTGATTTTTAATTTTTTTCTTTTTCTTTCTCTTTTCTTTTGTTGTCGTTAGTATGAAGCACAAACTTGCGATGATGTCATACGAGTATTTTGCTTACAAATGACATCGTATATTATTATATTGCACGCTTCATAGATACCACAGAAATAACAACAACACCTGCTTTTTAATTAATTTTAATTTCCACTCATTTTGTGTCAATTGTCTCTTTTTCTTCCAATTTTTTTTATTTTTATTTTGTCGTATGCAGCACAAAAATAATGTTTTGTTATGCACAAATAACAAACTTTAATGAGCAATTTGAAAATTTTAATTAAATGGAAATTTTAAATTATTTTTTTTTAAAATGCACAAAAATTCAGTAGCTCTCTAGACATGACGTCATTGGAAGATTTTTTTTTTTCTTTATGCTTATGCTCTTTTCACTTCAATGCCACTTACTGAAAGAAATCTTTCATGAATCATAAGAAATTTTCTTTCATTTCCACTTTAAAACCGCGACACGAAATAAAAACACGTTTATGCCGACAAAATACAGAAAACATTAATTTTGCGGCTAAAATATATCTTTTATATCCAATCCTAGACAAAAAATTTTAGGTTTTTAAAAATCTTTCGTCGGGAGAAAATTTAACACAAATCTTACTCAAACAATGACTGAAACCTGAATGAAATCCAATAAGACTAGCAATGTTGTGAGAGCATCCAGCACAACCGAGCTCTATCTCGCTTTAGCCTTCAATATTAAAGTGAGACTATAGCTATCTCTGTTATTTTATTCTCTTTCTCGATTTTCTCTCTCAATATTTTTCATGACGTCATTGTAGCATGAGTGTTGTTTGTAAATCAAAAAAAAACTTATGCTTCAAATAGAACGATTTATGTGTATGAGTCATGATTTCGAAAAAAAATTATGCAGCCCTTTTAACCCTCGTATGCAAATTTGCTATCTTTTATTGATAGGATTTAAAAGTAAAAATATAAATTTTATGTTTCTGTGAAATTTACCGGCAATAAAAATTTTGTACTAGATTTTCAAATTTATATTCAACGGACATTAGTTTATCAGACATGTGGAAAATCTAAATCATTTATTCGACACCTGTGAATGATGTGAAGATAACGATTTCTAGCAAACATATCCTATACTCCCCAGGTAGCTTGTTGAAAAATTTATTGTTTCCAGCGTATAAGCTACTTTAACAAGTGATGTTAATTCCTTGAATATTCCGTATTGTATATCGAAGATGCTTCCTCAAACTCTGTACGGTGCTTTAAAATATCTTCTGAATACAATTCAGATTCAATGACATCACAATCAATCTATATTCAACATTTGATTTCATAATCTATGACAGATACATTTTAGAGGTGCGGTAGCTATGAATTCTAATTAATAGCTTGTGTATTTTATTCAGTGACATTCCCAGAAAGATAATTAAATTAATTTTCATTATCTTACACGACGTTATTTTATTGATATCAGAATATTTTATTGATGGGGTTCGAGGTGCCTCCAAAGCTGATAAGAAATGTAATTGCTTTATGGCTATGAGTTTATTGTATGGTTATAAAGTTACAGTATTCTGTTTGGGGTTATTAACAAATGATTCTAGTCAAAGATCTAGTTTTTTACTTCCCTCCCTGTCCCTTTCTTCTCATATCTAAAATAAATTTAATAAAATCCAAAATAAATTGTCATAGATCAAAATTATCTATTTTTAAATATTTGACATCATAAATGAACGAGCCCCCTTAAGATCTAGATGACAAATTTATTTCAATTTAACTTTTTCAAAACTTAGTCACAGTAAAATTAAATCTTGATAAATTTTCAGTTTAAAATTTAATTTGAATCAAAGCCTTGAGACACGTATGTAAAAGCAACAAGGAACAAAACAATAGAAAGCTTAAATGTGAATAGAAAACCTTCTGAAAATTTATCGATAGATCTAAAATTTCTCATTCCTCAAAGTCTTGAACATTTATTATTTATGACAAACTCAATTGTTAGATACAATTCAAACATAAATCCTTGCTTTAAACTTTGCCTTTTTTTTGCAAATAGACACAGACATTTATCGATCCAAGTGATATATTTTTAATGGCATAGGGCATCGTATGTAGTTTCTACTACTACCTTTTAAGATACTTTCCATACAAAAATATAAAGTAATGCAAACATGAGAGAAGAAAAATGGCTTGTAAGCTTGTCAATGTCACAGAACATTGACTCTACGATGCGGAATATTCATCCGAATAAGTAACCTGCTTGAGTATTTCTTTTGCATTAAAATTTATAATATGAATATTTTTCAATGACTCATCATCGTCAACTTCACGACAGCATAACGTTTCTACTTCTTATTCTTATGTTATCAACGTTGATGCTATGCTGTTTGCACATTAAAGGAGAGAACAAGTAATCTCTGAAGATTCTCATACTTTTTTCATTCCTTTTCATGTCGAAAAGTTTAACAAGCAAAAAAAGTTTGAAAAGATACATGACTCACCCTTGTCTTGGAATTTTGCTTCAGTCCAATTGCAGGTTGATTTCGATTATTCTAAAATTGAATAAAAAAGAGAAGAAAATAAATTTTTTCAATTCAAACTCTTAGATTTCATTTTCAACAAGTTATACGATGTGGAAAAGAATTCCATCATCATCATCATCAGAATGTAATTTTTTCATCGAATGCAGGCAGAAATGCTGAATTATTATTCAATATTACAAACATAAAAAAAGGTAAAACCAAAAATAAAAAGTAGAAATGGAAGGACGGAAAAAGACAGGAAATTGTTTTTACCACATAATCTTTGTAATGCTGTTGTACTGGTATTTTTTCAATCAAAAATTTCTCTTTGATTATATCGCACTGCTGCTTCATTTCTTGCTGCAATTTTTGTTGGATTTGTTTTGATATGTTCAATGCCAGTTGACTCGTGAGGTTTACTATCCCATGCTCATCAACCTGCTCATCACAACCCTTCGATAATCTTCTTATAGGCGGCTTATCTTGATTGGCATGTACAGCCTGCATTTTTTTCTCATGCCCAACTCTCATACTCAACAATTTTTCCAATTCTTTCGATGATTTCTGATATTGCTGGCGATTAACAGCGATTGAATGCTCATTGCTTATGTGATTTTGATGGGCTTGCTGTAATTGTTGTTTGGCTGCAAACAATTTTGATTGTATCTCTTGGACTTTACTGTGTCCAATTGTATTTGGCATTTGATATGATTCATTATGGATGTTTTTGCCATCCTTTTCATACATCTCATAAACAGCTTTAGTTTTGGAAATGAAATCAATATCCTTAAATCCACCCGAGCTTGAGGAAGAGCTATCAAACGAATGTGATGGTGTATGAAAGCTTTTAAAGTCTACCATGTCAGCATCGTTCATGTCTCGATAATAATCATTATCCATTTCTGCTGATCCATTAATGGTATATGTTCCATTATTCCTATTTAGATTACTCTGCATGTTATATTCTATTTGCTGCTGTTTATTCACAAAGTCATTTGTGCATTCACCCATACGATAATGGTGATGCATATATTGCTGTTGCTGGTAATGTTGATGCAACGGAGACGACGAGGGCAATGAAAAATGATTGACATCTTTATTCGTTACAAATGGCAATTGTTCTACATGTACGTTTCTTGCATTTCTATTTGGTGTTGGCAGTGTACGATTGTTATTATTATGGATATTATTATTACTTGGAGTTGAATGATCTTGTGCAATAACGACATAGTTTGTTTTTTGAATATTTTTAGGCTTTACAGCAATCGGAGGTTTCACCGGCTTTTGGTTCGTATTGAGCATTTTTGCTGAATGTTTTTGTTTACTTTTATTGTTTTAATGTTTTTAAAAAATTCAATGTTTTTGAGTACTAGATTGTTTTGATGCAAAAAATTCATAGAAAAATTGTGTCTTGGCTAAATCACATCAACATATACATACACAATATATGTATAGGCAAGACAATTTCTGTATATTTCAACCTTGATAGTCTATCCAAAAGTTATTATTAATATTTTTTATATAAAGTTATGATCATTGTCTAAGGCGATCCAATAATAGAAATTATTTTGGATCCATTTGACGGCAGTTTCGGTATTGGAGAAGTTTTACTTAAATCAGTCAAGTGTAAAGCTCTACTTTTATGTCTATAAAAAGTTTTTCAATAATTATAACTTAATAATTTGATAGATTGGTCTACTTTTGTCATACTAGTGCGAAAGTGTCAATAATATTTCACATCTAACACACATTTTCATCTTATATAAGTAGATCATCACCTATTAAATGCTTAACATGCCGTGTTCACATTGATTTCATTTCCAGACACATGTATGTATATATCTATGAATGTCTCTTCTTTCATCTACATACTAATCGAATGCTTAGAAAAGTCTCGTTCTTCTTTTCTTAACACTTCTACTCTTTTTCTTTTTCTAGTTCTGCGACTTGTTTTTATAACACCTTTCACTCTTCGATTTATTAATATGATTACTTTATTGATTCTATTTATGTCGATGTCCAATTAGCGCATAAACATTCTATTCACGCATTCTTTGCTTCTTTCTGAATAATGGGATTTTTGCTTTCCATTTTCATTTCACTTTTCCTTCTCCGTTTGTCTACCTTCTGAGTTCTTTATGAGCTTCCGATTCACAAAAATATTTTAGTTTTTGGTTAAATATTCAACAAATATTAAGTCTGCACGAAATAATGATAAAATAGCTACGAATTCAAGAATTTTTGAATACGGGAAAATTTTCAAGAACAAGGGTTGTTTAGCTGTTCATGTGCTATGCCTTTACTTTGTTGTTGTCATTTCACTTCACGCTATTTTGTTTTGTTTTTTTGGCAAATAAAAAATAATAATTTGTATACACAACCCTTTTCAGTTCATGAACAAAAGGAAATAAAAAAAAATTGCTACAGATGAGTGAAAAATTGTAAAATTTTTCAGCATAAAAATCACTTGATTGATTTGAAAACTAATTTATCTATTATATTGTCAGTAATTTGAGAAAATTTGATGCAAATAATTCACTTTAATTTAACTTTTCATTCAGAATTTTATAAAAAACTACTCATCACTGCTATCACTAAAATTATTCTATGTTTTTTTGTGTATTTCAATTCTCAGACACTAGGAGAAAGTATAAGTTTTTTATCCTTTCTCACCCTCATTTGCTCTCCCGATATTTTCATACACGACGATCATGCGCAATGTTTTTATTCAGCACATTTTCCACTTACACATACTATATGTACACATGTACATTATGAATGGGAAAAAGATTGTATGTACACACATGACGATGATGATGATAAAATCAAAACAAATTTTACGGCATGACTTTTAATTGTTCTAATTGACTCACCTTCTCAATTATTCTTATGTTTGAATATTTCAGGATGTCAATCGTATGTTCAGCCAATTCTTTTTCCAGTGAATTGTGTTGTGATTGGATGCGTCTTGATGTTTTATAAACAAACGAAAAAAGTTCGTGAAAGCATGGAAATAAATGAGAGAAAAAAAAAGCTTATTACGCAATTGCCACAAAAAAGATGCTGCATAATAAAAAAAAAAACTTACGAGATTGTTAGTAGAAGTTCATGACATTGACTTTGATTTCGCTTTTTACACTCAAATTTGTCACACTCGTCAAGGGATAGATTCAATTCTTGTTGTAAAATCTTTAACTTCCTTCTTTCGGCCTCCAAAAGAAGAAAATTCACTTCCAATTGTACCCCAAATAATTGATTGTTGTGTAAATTATTTCGAATATCCGGTCGATTCTTCTGTTCGTAATTTTCCTTATTTTTTATAATGCTTGTTTGATTTGATATTGAAGTTGTCGATGACGATGAATCCGTATCAGACGTTGATGCTGTTTCGATTTCTGAGTGATCTGATAAATACTCGTTGTATATATCGCTGAATGCGCTGAGACTTATATCACATTGTTGTTGTTGGTCCGGCTGCTGATTTTGTTTTTCTTGTTGCTCACTCGTCACCAACAATACTGTACAATTTGCTTCAAACTTTTCCAATGGACGCATTTTTGTTGTTGCAGCTGTAAATTGAGAGAGAATAATACAAATTTTATATAAAATGCAATAAAAAAGAGAACAGAAATTGAATGACTCATCACTATTTACATTTAAGAATGGTAAAGAAAACTTTTCATTGCGAGAGTGAAGAATAAAGAATTGTAAAGGAGGAAATGAAGCCAAAAAGTTGAGTGTAATTAAATTGACTCAGGAAAAACTCGGTCATACATGAAAAAATTTTACGTTTGGCAAATCACAATGAAGCATTTATAAAATTATATGCTGATTGAGAAACAGAAGAAGAAAATCGCCAACTGAAGAAAAGAACGGCAATGTCAAATTAAATTTGAGTTAATATAAATGAAGCAACTGGCAACAAATAAATCAGGGAAACGAATGGAAAGAAATGACCAAATTCTTAATTTATAGCACGCATGTGACTCTTCGTATGTAAACAAAAGCAATTCCATTGTTGTGTGCCGTTTTTGTCTAAAACAGGTGTGGGCTTATTTAACAACAATCATCATTATGCTTCCTCATTCTCTCTACTAATGTCACATTAAATGAAGAAAGATTACCATTTTTATTCTACTGTCCGTCGCTTCTAATTGACGAGATCTCTCATCTTTCTTTCTTTGGTTATGAACACAACAATTGGCTACTTTACCGCTTCATTGACATCAACAACACCTTCGCATGTCATAAATGATGTGCTCTTATGAAGGTCAAAAATGTTTGGCAAATATTTCTTTGCCTTATTAAAAAGAAGTCATTTATGCTGATTTAGTCAAAGTCAACGTTATAAAAGATGAAAGAATTGGTTTCATTAGACATTGGAATTGTTCATCAAGCTTGTGTGTGGTTTTGTCATTAAAATATCTTTTTGTAGCCGTAGCCCTTTAGGGCTTTTAACTATCTAAGCTTCGTGAATGGTGTCATAAATTGCATAATATAAGATGATAAACATAGTATTTAAAGACTTTTTATTACCAACATCCATATAATGATGTCTTATGTTGTTGTTTTTGTTGATTTTGCTTTTCAGCAGACCTACAATAGAATTGTATTTGTTTTTTTCTTCTTTTCATCCATCTATCAACATTGAATTTCATTTGTAAAGAAGTGAAAAAAGCTGTGAAATTATTGAATAATACTTTAAAGGAAACGACAGTCATAGATGGAATAATGTGTACCACAAAAAAACAAACATTCCTAATTGATGGATATCACTAAATTACATGAATTAACATTCCGAGAAAGAATATTAGGCGAGCAATGACGAATAAAAAAAACATGCCTAATAATGGCTCATTGAAGTTTGCTTACGGCATGCTTTAGACATTGATGTAGAATATTCTGATTATTTTAACATTTTATGTCTGCAAATTTAATTCAATTTTATTTGATTGGAGTTAAGACAAAAATCTTTCGGATCAATATTTCAAAATATTTTTCATTCTTTTGTTTATTGCTTAATGCCTTTTATATTTATATTGAAAAAAATTAGAGTATTAAAATTTATGTGACTTGAAATCAGGCAATATTTTGCCTTTGTGAAAGACATCCACACTTTAATCATAAACATCATGATGTATATTTCAAAAATTTATTAGCATTGAAAATCGAAGCTTTTCTTCTAGGCTGATAATTTGAAAATATTGTTCAATGATTTAATAAGCTGGTTTCAAAAACTGAAATTCAATATTATTTTATCATAAAATGAGAGATTCAATCTTTCTTATCAACATTTATGCTAATTCCTTTTATTGGATTTACATTATAATGATTCAGATCGGAAATTTATTGATAATTTTTATGAGATTTTCAAAACTGGCATTTCGAAAATATATCAATCTAATTGACTAATATAAAAGATTAATCTTATTGAGTTTATGACAGTGATATTGGTCTAAAACAACAATAAAAGTATCCATTTTCAGTGATAAATTTTTAATGCTGGAACCAACTGTAACAAAATATATTTTGTGTGAATAGATTTAAAAACAAGTCTAATCCCAATTTGAAGAAGAGGGTCTAAAACTCAGTTTTTGAAATAGGTAATCTCTGAACTCTAAACTTCAATTGATGCTGAAGGTAAAAAATCAACAAAAAAACTTCTCAATAGAAAAATGCTGTACAAAATCTGTTAAGAGTCAATTGTATCTACATCTTTGAAGTAGTTTCTATAATAGTCGATATTGTTGTCATAAAAGTACATTTACAAAGCAGACACATTTAATTAAAGATAATCTTTATAGGAAGTATTAAATTTTGAGATTAAAAGATTTTTTGTCAAGCCAAAAAAAAAATAGCAATTCATTCTTATTCAGTGCAACACAATAAGCTTCGTCATAAGAATTGTTGATGGAAATGACAAGTCATTCCATTTGACTTGATTTAAAACAAATACAAAGTAGTTCGGAGCCATAATTTGATTCTTTCATCGCATTCAAAAAGAAGAAAAGTTCCTAAAAGGAACCTTTAAATTTTTTAAAACTATCTTAATCACTTTTTTGTGCTTGCGTGTGTGTTCTTAAATCTCATCATTATCTTCTCGATGAAAAAGTGACTAAATTTGTTCAAATGTCGATTTCGTGTCAATAAACTCAAATTATTAACTTTTCTCTTTAAGAGATTCCGCTTTAAAAACGAGATTCGCCATTTTTGACGTGATTGAAAAATTGATTTAATTTTCAATAATGAAAATTGTTCGATGCTTCCATCGACGCTACCACACAGGTAATAGATAATTGTTTGAAAAAGTCCGTAAGACTTGTTGCAGTCTTTATTTAATCATGTTACATAACACGTAAAAAATCTGTAAATAAATTTATTAAAGAAATGATTTGTCGGATGTATCAAAATTCCTCGAACAGCATGAAACACTCAATCAAGAGAACAACATAGTACATTTTGTTAAACATACTTCAAACACCGCATGAATTGATTTCATGAAGTGCATATCTTTAAGATAACCAAGGCCAAACCTTTCATACACACCTAACAAGTGTATGGATTGTTAAAGTGCTAACATTAGTCTCGAAATATTTGCAAAAATCTTGAAAACAAAATACTATAAGACGTAACTCGCGCATATTAAATGGATGTGATTATAAGATATATAAAGCGCTACTTTGATTGCGTGAAAAAGTAAATAAAAGCACATTCGATTGCTCACTAGTATGTGCTCGAAGCTCATCATGTTATAACATATGGGAAATAACCATTTGTATTGATATTTGCTGATGATTCAACAAAAGTATCGATGTTAATATGATACATCTTTCAAACATATCGTGAATTCTTTCTTAAACGGCTGGTAATTATATGAAACATATGCAGGAAATAAGAATTAATCGAAAAAAAAATCCATGGCACATGAAATCAAAGAGCATCAACAAAGCAGTCAACTAGCGAGGTTTTTGACCTTCGGGGTTATTAATTGTACGAAATTTGAGAATCTCTTTCCGAACCTCCAAAGAAGTACATCTTCCGAAAACCATCTTTAGCCATATGACGATGAAATAAATTATCTGTTTTGATGATGTGATTAAGATCCAAAAAAAAAAACAAAAAAAAAAGAAATTTAAACTTTTTTATGGGATTAAGGCTAATCAACAATAGAATGAGAACTTTTCACTCCGCATGCCTCGCATTTAGAATTTATTATGTGTACGTAGATATGATTATGTAGTCATAATCAACAACAACGGACGCAACATGCAATTATGTCACAACATTAGTCTCACATTAACTCACTCTCTAGTGCTTTTTATTAAAGCAAACATATTCCGTTATACA